TAGTAGTAGTAGTAGTAGTAGTAGTAGTAGTAGTAGTAGTAGTAGTATAGAGTAGAGTAGAGTAGAGTAGAGCAGAGTATAGTATCGTATAGTAGTAATAATAATACTATAATAGTAGTACTAGTCGTAGTCGTAGTCGTAGTCGTGGTAGTCGTAGTCGTAGTAGTAGTAGTACTAGTAGTAGTAGTAGTAGTAGCAGCGTCCCTGAAAAAAAGGAAAGCTCTGGCGAGCCTCCAGCATGCCCAATCACAAGGACTTGAATGAGAGCACTTGGTGCCGTGTGTCATGCTGCTTTCTGGTCTGAGATTGTTGAACCTGTCTTGTGGCTGAAATGCTTCAAGTTGTACCAACTTGAATGACCAATTAAGCGCTCGCAACTTAATGAGGAATCTGGGGCAAGTCTGCGCGAGATGCCACTAGCAAAGCAGGATTGAAGGCACACCAATGGCATCACAGCGAACCAACAAATGGCATCACAGCGTTAAAGGGTTGAACACAGGAAGGCATGATGGGTTCTGCCTTACGACATAACATTTCCACTCCCTTCCAAAAAACTTGAACATCAACCGTCACAAGGTCAGCGACAAAAAGTTCGGTCCGGCTGAAAACGAGAGATGGAAAGAGGTTCCCAAAGCTGGTTTTCAGCCGCCGGGTTAACCCAAGCTTCATTATTCACCTTTGCGCAAGGACATCAACCCAACTCGGAACTCCAACAGCAGCTCAGGACCGAGCTCCCTCCTCCTCCTCCTTTCAAAGACACACCCCATCCTACAGGGCTGCCTTCTGAGAAGGTCTGGGGTGGGTTTAGACCACCGCTACATCGCTATTAGGTTTCAGGCCGCCGCTATTAGGATGGAGGCCATCGCTCTTAGGTTGGAGGCCATCGCTACTAGGTTGGAGGCCATCGCTCTTAGGTTGGAGGCCATCGCTACTAGGTTGGAGGTCATTGCTCTTAGGTTGGAGGCCAGGTTGGAGGTCATTGCTCTTAGGTTGGAGGCCATCGCTACTAGGTTGGAGGGTCCAGTCATACCTTCTAAGAAGGTACGAAATGGAGCCTGTTTGGGCCCATAGATCTGGCACGAATCCGAGGTCTGACTTGACGAGGGGCAGCTGTTCAAGGCGATTCCGGAAGTCGTCCAGCGTGTCGATATCGTCACGCAGCATGTCCAAAGAGGACCTGCGTCGTCACGAACGCCAAACCCCCAACAATTTGGCCAGAAGAGTGGTACACCAGCCAAATGCTGTCTCAAAAACACCAGGGCTTCGTTAGAGTTTTCAGTTTGGGAAGGTTGAAAATTCACGAGTGATAGACCTACAAAAACGTCCATGAAAACCGAGGATGAGAGTCACCGGCGGTGAAGCTGGCTTCGACGTGAACTCCTTCGATTGGATGCGAGTTCACTGTATGGCCAGGCACTTGGCGCCATAAAAAGCATTGAAAAGCACTTCACTTGGCCTTTCATCATGAATGTCCGTCCAAGAAACCCAAACGGATACCAAATTGTGGTCCTCTCATGCCCGATAGTTTGCCTGGAAGCTCGACCAAAAAGAATCGCTGTTTTTTGTTGCAGCTACATGGCGTTACATCGGATGTGTCCGTGAAACATACATCTTTGTGTGTCTTCAAGTTTCAAGTCGTTGTCAAACAAAACACTTGATAAACTCTTGATTTCATGCGCGCTGTGTTTTCTATTTTTTGGTTTGATTGTGAAATATTGTAATGAGTCATGCCTCCACGCTTAATACTACTGGTTGTGTACACCACAAACTTGGTAGCACCAAATTGTCAAACATCTCAAACATGCGACCATATGCATGGATAAAAAAAAAAACATTTTCTTCAATGGCCGTTGCTTTCATGCTTCCGTGTCCCCTTCTTTCTTTTGCCGCTTTACCAGACGATTACATCGTTGCAACTCGGCTCGTGATTTGTGATGAAATCTACAACATGTGAGGGTGCTGCCTGCCGTGAACCAAATAGGATCGAGAACATAAAAGTGAGGCTTTGGCTTTGGATCAAACGTTTGTATCAGGATGGGGGTCTGTTGAAAGACGTGAGGATGGCTACGCTTGCGATCCCACTTACACACAGGTGATTGGCTCCAGACACGGTGTGAAGTGAAGTAAGCAGTTCTTTCACATTAAGCCTCATTAAGCCTTCTTTGTTCAAGACACAAGCATCATGACTTGCCCAGGTCTGAGTGGCCATTTGTATCCATTTGTGCATTTTTCAGTCTGACACGCTATTTCGAAATCCTGAAACTACACATAATCAGCGCTTGGATCCACTACATGTCAGCAGTTAGATCCACCAAATCTGGTAGACAACACCAGTCTGGAAACAACAATACGTTCACCAAAGCAAGGTCGGACATCTGTGACCTATTTGTTGGCCCACAGCCTGTGGAACTGCCTGTGGAATACCATTGGAAGGCTGGTGGGTGTGAATTCACACCCCTCTTTGAGATGTGTACGAAGGAAGCACGAAGCAGTTTTTTTGGGGCATGCGCATTGATTTTTTCTGCACAGCTCACAGCGAGCATGGGATCCCACAGGTCTCTGTATGCAGTCAAAGAAGCACAGAAATACATTGTCCATATCATACGGTTCGTCTTACGGCATCCAACCTCCGCTCTAATCCAACCTCCGCTCTCTGGAACGAGCATTCCGTCGTGAAGTACGGCCTTCGAACTCAACAGAGCCTTCGTGTCACATCTACCAAACGTACCAAAGGCAGCGGATGTGTTTCTGCAACTCCTTTATATAGCGGGCCACCGGTGGCTTTTTCTTTGAGTTCCACACGGGGACCCTCTGCGCCATGCTGTGCCATGCGGTGCAAAGGGTGAAGTCCCCCCAGATTGACCTGATTGACCTGATTCCAGTCTGAGCAAGCACAAGTGACAAGCTGGTTGGACCTCGAAGGACAAGGCACGGTGTGGGACGAGCTGGTGGGTCGAATGTTGAGCTCTGTTGATAGACCTGCAGGAAACTCTCCTCATCTCAGAGGAAAGAACCGGACACCCCTCCCTATCCACCCATCTCATAGCAGAGTTTCTGAGTTCAGAGCTCACATTACTTCAAATATGACGGCAAAATGACGGAAATGACTCAAATGACCTAAACCCGCCTAAACCTGCCAAAAACAAAATAAAACGAAACCCAAAGGCCAACTCCCCGTCACGTGATACCACCCCCCCCCTCGTTTCTTTCCCCTGTTTGTCCGACCGGTCGAGGAAGAGCACCGCAAAGAGCACCACCGTGATCGCCTGAAGAACGAGCTCGAAAGGAGAAAACATGTGCAACACATCACTACGAACGGAGCAAAGGGCATCACTACGAACGGAGCTCCTTGCTGTACTACAAGTGACAAGAAGCTCGTGGCCGTACTACTAAGTACTAGTAACAAGAAGCTACTAGAAACAAGTGCATATTGGGAATTTCATTCACACCTTGAGATTTCACGCTGAATGACTGCTTCCCTTGGCTCCCATGGAGCGAACGGAACTGAAAACTGCCCAGCTGGAGTGCCACATGATACCACATCCGTCAGCTCGTAGCTGCCACCGCCCCAACTCATATTTCCAAGCCGCTGGCCATCTAAGTGGCGCTTGGTTGAAAACTCAAATAAATCTCTGCCCCAAAAAGGTATCCAAATTTCTTTCCACGTCTGAGACGGTTGAGTCCTTTTCCACGACAAGCTCGCTCCGCTCGCGCAGCCCCGCGCCGAGGAAAAGCTCCAGTCCCGCAGCAGTCGCGAGACGTCCCGGATACCCCGCCTCAGGGCGGCGGCGGTGGGTGCGGTGGATGGAGAACCGGTGGAACGTCCCTACTTTGAGGTTCAAAGGGGCTCTTAGACCTGCAAAAACCGGATTAACTTCAAAAGAATCTCCAAAGAGTTCGGTCTGAGGAGCCCAACTCTTTGACTCGAATTGAATACCAAAATCACATGATAAAAGCATCGAATGCGTACTTGCAGGAAGCCGCCCTCGAGCTCGTTCGCGCGTTAACGATTCAGCGATATGTATGACTCCGAAGTCATATATACTTTCCCAACTCCCATGTCACACTGAATAGGAAGCCCAAGCAGCGCGAAGGGCGAGAGCACCAGGCCAATGGCGCGCCAAGGCGCTTCGGCGATGTCAGTGGCCTTGGCGATGAGACCTGCCGTGGTCGTCGGTGGACACCGCGTCCGGTGGGGTCGGAGGGTGCCACCGGGCGTCGCACGCCCAAACGAAAGGAGAATCCAGTGAGGATGACGTAGATGACGGTAGTGACGAATAGTCTAGTGATGAAGAGAGTTGGAGCATCTGATAAGTGTCATGCTTTTCGATGTTGACCATGCCCCCAAAGAAATGGGCACAGCTTCCAACCCCTGTGAGGTAGAGACTTTGACGCTGGAAAAGACAAGAACTTTGACTTCATGATGTACCATGATATGCATTTTCAGCCCAGTGCTTCATGGATTGGCATCTTCAATCCGTCAGCCAACCCCGACTCAGCATGGCTGCAAGAGAACCAACTCCAAATCCTTTGGACCCACAAAAATCTCAAGGGTTTGAACAACTGCGACAACAACTGCCCCACCCCACCGCACCTGTTTTTCGACAGATCTTCATGAAACTTAAGCCACGGCCCAACACCAGCGGCTGACCACTCACCTGTGAGTCAGGCTGTGGTTTCGGTGGAGATTCCCTATTCGTACAAACGCACAAGGGGGATCGACCACTTTGGAAGATGATCGTAATATGCCTTGAAAAATCACCGATGTATACGAGTGATTCAGGTTCGGTTTGGCTTCGTTATGGTCTTCTAGACATGAAATAAAACTATTAAAGACATCTAAAGAATGCGTCTATGTTTATCGAGTTTTTACATTAAACTTTCATTAAAGGACATTAAAGGGCATGTCTCTACAGCATCTCAAGCCCCCTGTTTACATCACATGCTGTATAATGTCGCGATTCCCTTTAACCCAAGTATCTATCTCCATTCCTATATTTAGCGAACCAATTGTTCTCAATATAGATGTTGCCTCTGTTTTTTCATACCGGTGTATCGCGATGTTCTAGAGGAAATTGTAACATGGATATACATTAATTACATACTCCCATCAATCTACTCGCAAGAAAGCTCTGAGTGGTCTGGGGAGCTCTTCTTTCGGAACTCCACCCTGCGAGCCATATACCGCGCAGTCTGGGACTCCAGAGCCATACCGCTCCAAACGCCAGGCCTTTTTGGCGAAGAGACCGAGAGTCTCCGGATCAGCAACGAGCGCAAGAAGACGCACCCCGAAAAGATGTGCGCACTTCACAGAAAGAAGCATGGCCAATGGGGGCTCCAAGTCAGGTGAAAGCTCCAGATGTGGTGTAACATTACTTGAACATCCACTGCAGCGTCCGGCCCACCTCACACTGACACTGAACATTGAAGCCCTTAAGAACGCGCCGCTGTGAGGCGCCCAAACGCTCGACTGACCGCCACTTTACGCCAGCAAGGCAAACATCAAGTCACCCAGTACGCGAGCATCTTCCTCTTGCGTCTGGACCATGAAGTGCAATCGTCCACAGTTCATCAATTCAGAGCCGAGACGTTCTCTAGGAGCATCAAACGGCATGGAGTCAAATCTAAACAGCTCCGCAAGAAGGAATGAGCGTGGCTTGAGGCCTGGTTGATGGCCCACGGGCATGCCCGGCATGCCTTGGCAAGGGAAGCCTGCGAGGAGAACAGCCGCCCCCAAGGCTGCCTGAGAAGTCGGCTTGTAGCCACGCACATCTTCCAAAATCTGGCATTGTGGGAGGCTCCCTGCAGCTTGTCTCGCTTCGAGAACGGCCCTGCAGCTTGTCGTTGCTCTTGACCATCTCCACTGTCCGAAACGCCTTCCGATTTTGGATGATTGGTAAACTGGTACAGCCAGAGAAAGGAATGGTCATACGTTCATCAAGATTCTGACTGGAAAGATTGGGAGATGAATCCCTCCAATCTCAGAAGAAATTGACTGAACTCATCAGAATGTTTGCTGCATCCTTGACTTACTGATTTCAGTCAAGTCAAGCTGCGCCTCCACGTGCCATTCAACCCCAACGGTGGATCGCAAGGTGTCCTGGGAAGAAGCACGAGCTGCTCAGATGTGGCATCTCATGTTGATTTCAGGTTGGGCCTCAAGGATGAACAAAACTGGCAGATCCAAACGAGGTGGGGGACATCAAGTATAGCGGACCATTGACCCTCCCCATAGAGGACAATTGACATGGGGATGACACTGCTAATTACTGACCATCTGGCAATGGTTCAAAACGCAGGCGACCTCCAAAATTGAGCCCTGGAGATGAACCGAATCCTCTGGAAAGGGAGGCCAACATACCGCGGTTTGGGGGGCAGGTTTGGACTCACAGCCATCTTAGTGGATACAAGGAACGTGCCTATCGAATTTTGGTTGAGCTGGTTGAGCTCCAGCAGAATCGATCACTTTCCTCCCACTTCGGTGTCTGCTGTGTAAAGACTGCTTTGCATATTCAAGCGATGCTCTTCCAATGACCAAATGCTTCGGTTTCCCGCGTCCGAGACCACGATCCCTACGATCTGACCATGCGGATTTGGCAGAATTCGGGGGACGCGACGTTCGGGGGCTCCTGGCATCGCGACTCGAACGGAGCGATCGGACGCTACGTTCGTAACAAGAAGCTTTGTACTTGGTCCAGAGATGCGGAGCAAGGACGCTTCCCCAAATTCAACTGTTCCAATGAAGAAGAACCCCTTCAGCCATAGAATGTACAAACCCGACTCCCCAATTAGATGTACGTTCACAAAATTGGTCTGCGGTCTGCGGTCGTGATGTATCTATCCTATCTATCGGAGAAACACAACCTGAGAACCAAAAAAAAAGACACAACAAATAAGTATACTCGCAAGGAAAGAACAGAACTCTGGTAGGCGGAGGACCTGACCTAAAAGGTTCTCTTGCTTTTACCTCTAAGTCTATGACCCTTTTGGTCAAAGACCGCTCGACCGGAAGGGCTCAGGCAGCCGAAGGTGCTTCTTCAAAAGGTGCTCTTTTTGGAGTTCCCAAGTGACGTGTTACAGGGTCTAAGTGACCTCAGATCGCAGGGGATGAAAGGTCACAAAGAACCAGGCACACACATATCTCCTCAGAGATATTGTCCACCTCCACCTTGATATCGAGGGGAGGCCTTGGCCGGCAAAACTGGTCCGGCATGCGTGGGCATGTGTGGGTCGAATGAAGCGTGAATCATCCGGAAAACACTACCGTCTTCTTGCCCCAAAAAGAGGCGTGGCAGGCCGCCCATTGGAACAAACTCCACTTGCCAACCTGGAGGGCGTCAGTCCTCTCTTCCCAGAACTCCACCCTCTTCACACATCTTCACACATCTGTACGTCGGTCTTTTCGTCGTCTCTGGGATACCCCGGCAGGCCCAACATCCCACAGGCGCGCGCACTCACGAAGACCGGATGGGTGCGGATGAGCTCCAGGAACTCCGCGCGGGATTGAACCTGCCGCCCAGATCAGACCGAGGAGGAATATGACAAGGTCGGTCATGGGGCATGAAATTGTACAAATCATTGAAGATTTGTATGTAGATTTTGTAGAAAGAGGTGTGCAAAAGGAAAGATCATTGATCATATGTTTTCATGTCTGCCCTTTTCCCGACAAATGTCCACCGAATGTCCCACCATATATATATATATTATGAGAAACACCAGTTTTGGAAAAACGTAGGATGAATGACAAGCCTCTTGAACTGGAAAATCCAAGTCTTCAAGCAGAACCAACTATAGGCAGCCTACAGTCTACTTCTGACGGCTCAAAACCACCGGTTTGGTTGAGCACGCTTGTCCAGGGGCCCTGTTCAACTTCCATGTCAGTGAGTCAAAGTGTAGACTCCAGACCCAACAACATGTCCTTGGAGCAACAAAGAATCATCTTGGACATCCTGAACCATCCGAGCCCCACGTCATCCACTACGTCATCTTGATCCTGGCCGTACTACGTCGGTACGTGGCCCACGTCCTAAAGCGTCCTGGCCCAGGGGTTTTGAGGCCCAAACAATCGTGGAGTTCCCCAGCAGCAAGTCCTCATAGACCACATCCTGCGCAAAAACCAACACCGCTGAGGTCCAAATGTTCAAACTGACAGCATGGCGATCTCCAGGCACCTTTTGACCCCCCTGGGGTTTGCTTTTTGGGAAATCCACCACTCCGCCCAGCGAGGACATTTGTGGTGTAGGACCTGAGACATCTTTCGGCTTTCGGCATCGCAAGGTGTTTGTCTAGCAAGTCCTTTGTCGCATGTGTTTTGGCCAAACATCCATGTAAAGACCCACAGGGGTTGGATCTCTCTGAAACGATCCTAAGGTGTGTATATTCTTGATATTTCAGTGAGGATACCATAATATCTCATTATACAACATGAACATTTAATATTCAATAATTTATGCACTATGTCGTAGCATCTAAACACCAATATCATCAGCTTCTCAGGGACCGATTTCTTCCTACTTCCACTCCCAAGACCCCCAGTCCGTCCTTTCACCCGATTTGGCAACAACACTCGAAACCAAGCGGAAAAAAAACACAAAAGTCCACCAAGCCCCACCTCCGTGAAGCAAGCGGCCGTGCGATCCGCGTCGCATTGGTTAAAACCTGGATCTGCGACCGTAGGGGCAGTTTTTTGGGCGGTCTCAGACTCAATGGCCAAGCGCCCGGTCCAGGTGGTGGAGTTTCACTGAGTTTGCGCGTGTTTGGTTCACGTTGCTCACTGCATTGGAGATATGGTGCAAGGCAAAGGGAATGTTCCCACGCTCGAACTAACAAAAAAAACAAACTCTTGTGCAAAGAAACACTAATCAAGACACCGCCTGCAATTCAAGTCAAGCTCTTGAAAACACCATTCCACGAACAACAAGTTCTGAGCCCTAGGGTGAGGATAAGCAAAATTCTGTGCAGTTCGCCATCCAGGAGCAATGACACAATGGAATTCAAGATCTTTCTTATTCCTCCGCGCAGGCTGGTTGGCGTCCTGGGCGCTCCCCACTGGCATAGAGCTGCCGCACCACGGCACCCAACTCCGGCGGTGGCGCTCGAGGCGGATCGAGCACGAGCTCTTCGTGCACCACCGGATGTAGACCTGCAGAAACTCGGCCGAGCTCTTCGCGCATCCGAAGTGCGCAGCAGGAGGCAGGAGGCAGCAGGAGCACGGAGGATAGGGGAGCTTGTTCGGTGAGAAGGAAGACTGAACGAGGAGATTTTATGGAAGATAAAAGAATTAATATGAAATATTATCAAGAGTCACAAGGGGGTGCCGAACTTGGGAGGATAGGGGTCCCCATGATCCACTCCGAAACATCGAGAAAACCCACCTCAGTCTGTGACTTGACCCACCCATATCCTGTGTGCCGCTGGATCCACCGTTGCCCCTTCTGCTCCCCCATTTGTCGTGTGACCGGTCAGCCTTCTAGAATAGCCAGTTGAGTTGCAACATGTTTTCTGGTTTCAAGATGTTTCAAGGATGACATGTGACATTATCTCAAACATGTTCTTAAGCTTTCCAACTTCCCCCTTGAAATCATTGGGATACAAAATCCAAGCAGTTGAGTCAAACATCGTTAAACAACTCGTCCAAAACTGCTTGCAGGGAAGAAACAGCTCCCAGCTCTAAGTTCTGTTGCCAAAGGCAGTCAGCCTCTTGTCATCATAAGAAAATCCATGTGAGCTGCCTAAGAAGCAACGTCTTAAAAAGAAAGGTGAACTAGATCTTTAGGGAACAATCCAAACAAATCAAAACATAGGAGAAACGAAGAATGAACATATATATATAGGACAGTCACACAAAACCACAAGCGGACTGGACCGTCTGCGATAGAAACCAGCACTTCCAGAGGAAGAAAGGGAACACAACATTTGTCAGGCACTGCAACGGGTAACCGTTCACTGCTTGAAACCTAAGTAGAGGCTGCACGTGGCATAGACATAGGCCAGCACAACAAAGCAAAGATCATGCAAGAGGATGCAAGAGGCACATTGGGAAATGACCAGGATTTTTAAAGTATAAGTCCTATCCAGTAATTACTAGCAGCCAGCCAGGGGAAAGCTCAAGGAAAGAATCTCAGGTCATCTACGTAAGACGGCAAGTGAAGAGCGGTCATAGCAAGGCCTTTGACATGTGACCAACTGACGAAAACACCATCACTGAGTTTCTGGGGAGTCAAGGCAAGAGAAGAGTTGAACAGTTGAAGTCGCATCCTCTGAGTGCCAAGGACAGAAATTAATGAGCTCAATTATATACTTTCCAAAAACTCACATGATTTTTCTGCGCCATGACACTGAGACCTCACATTGAGTGCCATGACCAGGGACCAGGCCCCTGTTCTGGTGGAAAGCTCCTCTCTGGGCTTGTGCGACATCAGGTTCCATGCCGAAAAACACATACGGCGTCGGTTGACTTGTGTATACGTTGACCATGTCTGGTCTATTCAGTCGAACTTCGTTCAACATTGCCGCATACATACATGCCCCCCGAAAGCAAGTGGAATGTGTTTGGTTTCACGCAAAACACACACACACACACATCATCCCCACCATCCCCACACCCGAGATAAGGCGATCCGCTCGAAAACATCCCAAACCTTCTATCCGAGGTAGTACAGCAAAGGTCCGTGCCTGGTGTGGGTTTGGCCGAAGTCGATTACCAAGAAGCAAGACAAACGAATGGTACCATATGGTACCACACTGATGCCCGAAACCCCTTCTCTGCTTTGTTTGTTTTTGATACCCTTGGTATTGTGAGAAAATGGTCTGACTAGGTGACCCGAGTCCAGAACTTTACTTGACAGGGTGCCAACCAGTTATAGGGTCTTGGTTTTTCCGATGTGCAACACGACTGTTTGTTGCCACATTTAAGCCACATGAAGTGCTGAACCGGTTCTGCAGGTGGGTCTTTCTCGTCACCCGACTTGTGGGCGAGCCTGTTGGAGGGTGCTGGGACAGGGAACTTGTTTGAGTGATGTGATCCCAGTCGATTTGAAGCTGAACGCTTGGTGGCGTGGACCTCTACCAAGCACCGCCAGGAACAACTTGCGAGAACAAAAACTGTTGAGTTAAAGTTGGTTTACGGAAGATTACGTACCCGGTTTATAAAGAAACGCACATGTTTGTCTTCAAACATCGAGTTTTGGGTGCATCAACACTTGGTCTCCTGGTGGCTTGGAACATGATCAACAAACTTCTGGGGAGTTGGTTTTCATGATGGCCATGACCATCAATCGACCAATCGATCTATCGATGGATCTATCTATCGACTATATCTAGCTATATCATCCAGGTCACGTGCCCAAACTTCAAGCTTCAGGAAAACCCAAACCAGAGGAGTGAAATAAAGTGCTGGTCTAAATCTTTTCTAGTGCTTCAAGCTGACCTCCCCAGACACTGACCTTCTCAGTTTCGGAAAATCTGACCTCCTCAGTCTTTACCAGCTGTTCTTCTGTTCGGATCTGAGTGGAGAAAGAAAGAACAAACACCCCCAAAGGCCCAAAGCCATACGACAGTTGATCCAAGCAAGTACAGTACCTCTTGGCTAGGGAAAAGCCATGCTCGCTCCAAACAAATACATATTGCTCCCGCCTTCGCCGCCGTCCGACGTGCCACAGCCCGACTCGCTAGACCTGACGTGTTGGACGTGCACGGGCCCGACTCCCACGAAAACTGCAAGGTGGAGTTGAGAAGCTCAAATGGATCCATATATATATGTATATTATATATATACATAAATAAATATATGTATATAGTTCTTTAGACCCTATGTAGTTGTTTTGATCATATATAGTCATAGTACATTTATGCCGTGTTTTTTGGCTGTGTTTCAGGCCAGCAGTTCTTCCTTCAGTCTTGGGGGTCTAGTCCTGGGTTTGAAATTACTGTGATTGGTGGTTTTCCCAGAACATAGGTCCTGGTAATCATATGTTTGAGGACACATCCTGGAATATTTGTTTCAGGTTGTACATCCTATGATAATCTGTGAACCAGTGTGTACCTATACAGCTGTCCGCCAACCTATCAACAACATGACCGTGTGGCTTCTGGAGATATCTCAATCTGAAGAAAAAAACATGACCATCCAAACACATCAGATTCACTGACAAACATTTAAACACACCAAACCCATTTGAACACACCAAATGTCACTACCATGGTTTGATTCTATTTCATGCATCGGTGGTTGGGGAACTGTGGCACGTTATGTCAACTGTCAACGCTAGAAACGCTGGAGTTCCCGCATAATTTTGCTGCTGGTTTTCAAAAAGCAAATCAGACACGTTGTTTCTTCCAGACAAACTAAAGGAGTCTGCCCCCAAAGCTCATGACCCCCCCCCACACTTAGATTCAACAAACACCAAGTTGTCTCCTGACCAACGAGTTTTGGGGTCACAAGGATGCCCTTCCATGTCCACCTCTTTGAGGACTTTTACGAAATGATTGAGGGCATGTAACGGCATGTATTTCTTCAACGGCTGCACTTGTGAGTGTGTGATCAGGTTGACTCAAGAACCTGAAAAAGAACACACACAATATGTTTTTGTTTGAGGGGCTGTTTCCCACCTTTAAAACACATGATACCTTGTTGGATTGCTTCACCACCGCCAATGGCTGGCGCAAAACCTGCAGAGTAAGTAAGCAGGGGACCAACTATGATGATGATGCTGCTGCTAGGAGGAGGAGGAGGAGGAGGAGGAGTGTGATGAGTACTCTGAAGGGGGCGATGTGATCCACGCCAACATCCCTCCTCAGTGCTGCTCACCTACAAGGAGGGCCGTAGTTCCCACCGCTCCACGCGCTGTGGCCGGTCTGAGTGTGCGGAGTGTAGCCGGTTTAGCGCTGTTGGTCCTCAGTCAAACGAGGGGGATGAGGTTCTGACCCCACATGAATACTTAGGAGGTCTATGAACTCTGTCTGGGTTCAAAAGGAATTTGCCTTTTTGTCCAACAAAACTGGAAGTGGAACAGGTCACCGTAGAAGACGACGTCGAATAAAAACAGAGCTCTGTCGAGTTGCACATGGGACCCTTGATGTACCAGCCATAGATTTCAAACAGGTGCCACCAAAGACCCCTGACAAAGTCTGACATGTCTGACAGGGTTCAGTCCAACACTTGTGCCCCCAACTACTCGTGGATACCCTGAAACATGTTTATTCGGGTCACCGGGGAAGCACATTCCCGGACAAAAGCTAAACCATGGGTGGTTCGTGGGCACAAAAGGGCCTGCCAAAAGCAACAGGAGCGACGGTGTAGAAGCCGAAGGTCTAGAGATGACTCTGAACAAGAGTTCAATGAGTCAACGGTTTCTCCCCATGAAAAATGACACGACGTCCAGATCCTTGGGAACCTGGGTCTTCCTTCTTGACGCTTCTTGTTACTAGCTTCTTGCTCCTAGTAGTAAGGCACTTGTTCCTAGTAGCGTGGCACTTGTTTCTAGTAGCTGATTTAGAGATCCGGAGATCGGAGCTCCGAAGATCCGGACAGGCCTAGAGAGGTCTTGGGATGGAGAGATATCAAGATCTCTACATTGGACATCCAGAACCCAAGAAACTTAGAGGTTTCATGGTCTAGGGATTGAGAGGTCTAGAGATCTAGGGCTAGAGTTAAGAGTTGTAATGTCAGGGAATGTGTGGGAGCCAAGAATGCGGATTTAGTAAGATTTAGTCGAGTCTATAGTTGTAACCTGATTTAGTAGCGGCTAGGTTCACAAAAATGTGTTAGCAACAACTAATAGCAACCTTCTCGATGAATCTGAAGTGAAGTGGACTGTCAACAACTGTGAGAGGGGTTGTTTTTTGCTAGTCAAACAGACTTTGATTAAGAAAAATAGTAACCCTCTCGAGGAATCTCAATTGGACTGTCAAAATCTGTGCGAGGGTTGCTATTTATTGCCAACCAGATTTGCAAAACTGGAATTCGATTGGCAAACAATAGCAGATTTTAGCAACCCTTTCGCAGCAAACCTCTCACAGTTTTTGACAGTCGACTTCAGATTCCTCGAGAGGGTTGTCAAAATTTGCTATGCGTTTGCTGATCAACTTCCAGGTTGGCAAATCTGATGAGCAAAGCTTTAGCAACCCTCTCCTCTCTCCCGTTGTCTTCTCGTCTTTTCTCCCCTCTTCTTTGTCTTCTTCTCTCCTCTCCTCTACTCTACTCAACTCTCCTTTTCCTGAAAGCTAATACAGATTGCTCATTGCTAAGTCAAAACTCGTGCCACCCAACGTTGCAAATGCAGATTGCTAACCCAAATATATTCTACTATATCCAACACCCCTTCAACAATTCCCAGGGCTGCATCTCTTAAAGCTAGAGGTTTTGAGATCCAGAGACTTGTAAAGGTTCTTCGATCCAGAGATCTAGAGACTAGAGAGGTCTAGAAAGGTGTAACGGCCGAGGTAGAGTTCTAGAGATGAGGTCTTGAGATGTAGAGGCTCTGAGGTTCAGAGACATCTAGAAGTCTAGAGTTCAATCTAAATGTCCGAGAGGCCACCAAGAACATCAGAGATCTCCAAAGCTCTAGGTCTAGAGGCCTACAAGGCCTGAGAGGTCTAGAGATATCTAGAGGTCTAAAGATCCGAAGGCCTCTCGCTTGCGTCAGAATTCAGCACTGCACCGCACCTTCGCCCTCCACGCTGAACGTCGATCAAACATCGCCTTCTCAAACACGTCCTGGCAGATTTGAGCGGCCAGGTGTCGCGGTCTCGGCGACGTCCGGCCCTTCTACGACTGTTGACACTATGGAAGTATCTGGCACCGCGGCACCGAAAGAATCACACTTGATGAACTCGCAATGCTGAGGAGAACGGCTTTGCTCTGCTGCAACTCCTTCTGGTCAGCATCATCCCGATGAGCCACCCACACCAGCAAGGCCTGCATAACTTTTGGGCGAAGCCCTTTCAAATTCAGCAGGCTTGCCATTCACCAAAGGAACGTCGACAGGCTCCAGCAATTGCACGAGGCGGCATCTTCCATGCTCGCTGAGTCTGCGAGCCCGCGCAATCCAAATGCACTTCGAAGATCTCCAAAGGCATGAATCGGCAATGTATAGCACGTAAATAGCGGCAACTTAGCCAAATGCTCCGATGAGCACCACCCGATCAACACCAGGGCCTTAACCCTTGCCTTACGGTAAGAATCCCTAGTGTAACCACACTGTTCGGTGAAAAAGGGGTCTCCCTCCGCAAATGGGACTGAAGCCCATACTTGGAGGTGGGGACTGAAGCCTATATTCTTATATAGGTTCATTCCCACCCACCGAGCTCGGCCAGCTTCCGGCCCAAGCTGCAGGGAGCTCCGTCGCTGCCCCACCGTGGGAGGTCGAGCGTCCGTCCAAAGGACAGAGGAGACCGCCTCGGTGAAGGGATTCATGGGCAAAGCATAGCGATGCCCTTGTTACTGGTCTAAGCTTCTTGCTACTAGTAGTAATGCCCTTGTTACTGTTACGAGTAGCGATGCCCTTGTTACTAGTAGCGACGCTATCTTAGTTCTATCCTATTCATGGGCAGTCATCCCAGTTCTATTCCCAGTCAGTCTGGGTGGTTCCGTGTATGGAGCCCAGTCCCCTATGTACACTCCCTGGAATCATGGGTGCATGGATGGCATGGCCCCGAAGGGATGTAAATACCAAACACCAAGCACCAAAAAGGTTGTTGTCCCTCCACTTCCATGCTTATTTCAAGGAGTGTATACACCATTTATGACCCCAAATGGATGTAAATGGCTATAGCTCGAAACTGGGGCGCCCCTGGATGTCTCGCAAAACACCCGGAGAAAATGGACAACATGATAACTTGTCAGGGCGGCTGCACGTCATGTTTTGAGCCACATCGATCACCCTGAGGTGGTTCATACCAGACCATCCATGCCACTGGAAGAGTTTATATGATTTACCTGTCACGAACCTGTGCCATACATAGATGGTCTGGGCATACAGCGGACCCACAGTTCCAGGTCCATCTTCGATTCCTAAAAGCGGTCAACGAGTGCTCGGTCTACCCCGCACAGCCATGCCAGGCACGGCTCCCATGCTTTTCACCGTGCCTCTTCACCCGCGCCAGGCTCATGTTCTACCCCCCAAACGGATCGACGAAGCACGGTGGGAAGCGAAGACCATTTTCGGGTGAATTTATCCAACGTTTCTTCAAAAGCTACTAGGACCTACTAGGAACAAAGGGCATCGCTACTAGGAACAAGAAGCTCCTAGTAGCTGCTAGCATTTCTACTAGTAGCAGGAAGCTACTAGGATGTGAGTTGCTGATGTTTTACTCCAAATATGCGAAAGGATGCGGCAAGGTGGTGGGGGGAATTGAACATAGGGTGGTCATGGTCAAGTGAACAGGAAAGGAGAAAGAAGACACCTTTCCCATTGATGCAAGGACTTCATACATTCTATGCACACAACATTGACATAATAAGCAAACAGTTTTGATCAACAAGCAACACATATCAGTGCCAGAATGTCATAAGTGCAAAGCATTGCAAAACCAACAACTGAACCCTTTGGACGAATCCCAAAACAGGCAACATGGGCACCGCTGAATCACACACACACAAACACAAATATCGCTTCGCAAGAACCCCACCATAAATGCACACTCCAACATTCAAGCCATTTGGTACCACAAATGTTAGCCTTGGGTGTCTTTCTTCAAGCCGGCCTAACAGGGAAGTGACACCTACTGTAGCCTCAAGGCCCAAAACCATCTGAAGACCCAAAGCACCTGGCCAAGGGTCACCTGCCATCTGGGTGGCCGGACCGAGGGGAAGCTGGAGCTGCTTGCGTGCATCGCGTGGATGGCACGGAGGAGTGGGGCTGATCTGGCGAGCTGCGCTGCCAACCCTCCAAGCTTTCAGAGCTTCTGGTGCAAGATCAGCTACCTCACAGGTCTATCTGGGTTGAACTCAAGAAGCCTCATGAGAAAATCAGGTTTCTCTACCTGGTCCTCCGCTCTGACACACACACACACACACACCAGTCCACACCATGCCGAAAGTGCACAGGTGCCCAATCATTTTGGGCTCTAAGGCCACCCGAATGGTGAGGGTCATCGAGGTTGTTCTTTCGAAGTCGGCTCAGCTGAACGCTTGGAACATCCTGCGAGCATCTGATTCATGCTGTCGCTGTCCTTTCGATTCGAGACCCATGCAGGCCCATGTCTGACGAAAACCAAGTCAGAGGTCACAAACAGCTCTTCTTCTCATGAACTGGAGATTGGGTCATCGACAGTGCGATCTACCTTCATGGCGAGTGCCTCTGCCCGTCCTACTGGAGTTGCTGGTGCGTCGTTCTACCAGACTGAAGGTGGAAATAACAAATCCCAGAAATCACACATCGAAACCAACAACGATTGACTGGCACGTATATATGCTTTGTTACATCAGTTGCATCATGGCCCTGGCTACTAGGGTGAAGGCCATCACTACTAGGGTTGAGGTCATCGCTACTAGTGTGGAGGCCATCACTACTAGGTTGGAGGCCATCGCTACTAGGGTGGAGGCCAGGGCCATCGCTATTAAAGCTGTGTTGCATCAGTTGCATCTATAGTCCTTCAGAGAACCGTGCCAAACCGCGATCTCCTGCTGGTGACTCCCTCCGATCCCCTCCCCGGCCTAGACGCAAGCCATGCTGGTCTGTACGTCCACCACGCGGAGACCACGGGGAGACCGCGCCCCCCAAGTGAAGGGCGAAAGCTGCGAAGCCAAGAAAGCACGGAACAAGGACGCTACGACCGGGGCTCCTGGCCTTACTACGACCGGAGCTAAGGATGCTACTAGTAGCTCCTGGCATCGCTACTTGGAGCGATCGGACGCTACTAGATGCAGTGCGATTGGCAGTGCTTTAACTTTGTGTTCTCCTCCGGCTACGTGTCACGAAGAAAACGCACATTCCATCGGTCCAAGAGATCCAAAATGGTCGACCGACCCAGTGGTGTGCAATGGTGAAGCCTCTCCAACATCCTCAGACGGCGATGCAGTTTGACACCCCAGGGCCCCACCCACCGAGGTAGGAGTCCTGCTTGGTATGCCACGGGTTAGGAAGGGGTGGAGTAAACCGTGGCAGCTCAAGAAGCCGTCTGGGGAAGATGTTCGGAGCAGACCGGGCCGTGGGTCTTCATGGGTCTTCAGCCGTGGTTTTCTGTAACGTTCAAAAAGCACAAAGAATAATGTGCATGCTGCATGGCTTTCATGTTCGTCTTTCTTCACAGCTGAAGAGCCTGCTTCCCCATGGTTTAGAAAAGTGTATATTTTGCAATTGCAACAATCGTGGCATTTGGGACTGCAAATTGCATACTCCTCTCCTCTCCTATTATTGACAGTTTCAAGGAGAGTATACACCAAAGAACCATTGGATGAACAAGAGCCTTCTCCCTCCAAGAACGCGGCAAGTAGCGCATACAACTAAAATCAAGCCGCATCTGAACACCTTTTCAAGCAAATCCTTCTCACGGATGTGACATGTTGTGCATCCCGAACAGGCTTTGTGTCCGGTTGAAAGCAGCAGGGCCCGGCAGGGTGCAGTAAGTGATCGCCAAGGAGAGTGAGGGTCTACCTACCTGTTCTATATCAACAAATGGGATGAATCGATTCATCCCACGCCCCTAGCGGCGACGATCACAACCGTGACGGGACTCGCAGGGCGTGTCAGTGGTTGAATTTGCAGTGTCTCTACTTGGAAGATGTTGAATGACTGAAGTACCAGGCACAATGGACTTCATCCGTTCCCTGGTAGGCAGTTTTTGGATGGTTTCTCGCCTTGCAGGAATAACCCACCGTGATACAAGGGATGCAATGGCCTTTGGGTGTAAGTCTGCATCACAATCAAACCAAAACATGAGAATAAAAAACAAATCACAACATCCCTGGACTAATCATGGAAGCCGAGCCATGCTGCGCCAACCCCCCTTGCAAAGGAACATGGTCTTCCAAAGGCTGAACTGTTCCAAGGATTCCACTTCCATAATTGTTTCAGTGAGTGTAGGTGCAGATCAAAGAAAAACACAAGGAGGAAGTCCCACAGGCCAAATTTCATGATCATCTCACGACATGTGTGACGAGGCCAAATATACCGCATCTCAATGAACCCAAAACAAATGGAGAATCGAAGGTCATTCGAAGTCCTGTCCTTCCAGATGAGATCCAAAACATTCCAAAATATTCCAAAAGCCTTCGCAAATTCCCCTGCAAGGGCCGGCTTTCTGCCTTCAGGCGCTTCCCACTTGCTGCGCTTGCTCCGGCCCGGCCGCCGCCACACCGGCACCGCCCCCCGCACCGGCGGATTGCGCCGCCGGCACGGGCGGCACCGGCGGCTTGCGCCGCAGTGCGGCGTCGGGTTCGCGGTCCAAGGAGGCGCGGTGCAGCGTGCGCAAATCCGTGGCACCGGAGACCTTCTCCTGGAGATCTCGGTGGAGCAGGGGAGCACATCTCGGTGGAGCAGTGGATCTGATCCCGCATCGTGTGCAACCACTTGATGCCTTTTCATCCAAAGAGCCAGCCTAAATAAGGCAATTGTGTATAGTTGGAAGATCTATGAAGTAATTTAAAGTATAGTTGGTGACGAATCTGGAGATGATGTTCTTCAAGAAAGAAAGAAATGAATGGTCTGGAATGCCATGCAGTTTCCATGGTTGATGCGTATATGTGACAGTGGTTTCTGGTTTTTGGTCAGGAGCCGGAACGCACACCGGTTTCGCAGCAACTTTCCCTGCAAGTTCAACTTCCAGAGCCTTCGTCTCTACTCATTCAAGGCTGCACATTCATTCTGAGTTGACTTTACTTTGCAAAGAGTATGATGCAGTGTGCTAAGTAGAGAGACTATTGCACTTCTTTGGGATCAAAATCAACACACAATTCCATACTTAGCGCACACTTCTGGGTCGGCTTGCCCAAGGGTCGTGCCCGGCACTTCCCCAGCCGCCCAGGGTCGTACCGTAGAGCCCACGGCACAAACATCAAACCAGGCGCCAGGTGCTTCTCACTCCACAGTTTTCGCTCCAAGACGCAAGCCCTGAGCCTGTCTACTTCTCATTGCTTGACCGAAAACGTCCACACAATCATTCTCCCTTCACCCTTGGGCCATAAGACCTATCCTTCCAAACTCTCTCACCCTCCACGGGTTCCCCGCCGCGGAACCCGCACGTTCGCCAGCGCGTGGCGTTCGGCCGCGCCTGCTTGGGCGGTGAGACTTTGCTCCAACCAGCCTTCGGTGCCGCCTTCACGGTGGGGCGCTTCACCCAGGAGGCCTCCGGGGTCTGCAACGAAACGCGGCATCCGGACGGTGAGGTTGAGTTAGTAATATTAGGTGGTTTGTTGGGTTCCCAAAGCCGGGAGGACAGCGAAATGACCCATCATGACCCATCTATGGAATCAGAAGGTGCTTAAAAACATATTCTCGATCCTTATAGGTGACCCTTATAAGTGCTTGAGTCTGCTTGAGCTTCGTCCTTGCTTCGCTGAATCGAAACACACATCCACGAGATCGAATCAGAGTCCAAGCCATCCACACGAACCGAAACGTCCCTCGTCCCTCCAAGCTGGGCATCCAAACGTGTCGTGTTTCAAAAGGACCACGAGCAAAGCAAGCACTGAAGTTCACTGAAGCACTTGTTGTTAGCAGGTTTCCCCTTGGTGAACAAGCCACAAAAGTGAACCAAGTGGTCTTGTGGAGGAAGCGTTCGTCTTCCTTGCAGGTCGCCATCAGGTTCCATGTGGATCTCTTCCCGGGTGTACTGAAGTTATTGCTCAAAGCAAATTTCTTGCAAGGGCGCATTTTCTACGAATATACATACGGCACTTGCAATCAGTTCACTGCAAAACAATAGTCTCAGTTTCAGTGAACGGAATCATCCTGGACACCCAGGCTGCAGCATGTCACAACGTTTTGGTTAGGGGAGCTGTCAGGTTCTGAATCCTAAGCCTCAAAATGCATCAAAATACTGGAAACGATTCGCAAGACTTGCCAGAAATATACAACCAGCATCCAAAGTGCATAAAGAATGCACATGGCTTTATTGGCTGAGCTTCTGGATCCTTTCCAATTCCAACTCCCACCTCTCTGCTGCCAGCCTCCATCTTCTCCTCCAACACTTGAGTGGTCTTCGGGCACCAGTCGCTCCGCAAATGCGATTCTGAGCGCCCGCCGTGGGTGTCTCTTTTTGGGGACAGTGATGTGCAGTGCACGGGTCCAATCCCAAAAACACCTTGGGAGGTCAACCTTCCCTGGTTTGGTGCTCTGGGTTTTGACCCACGGCCCACAGCCATGTTTTCCCAAAGAGTCCATGGGAATAGTACCTTGGGAAAAGCGGTTTCCTCAGCAGCGTTACAGGCCTACAGTTTGCATTGGGGTGGTTATTTTGGTGAATCCATCAGTTTTCTTAGGGATCCATTGTGCTGGTAGACATGTTTTCTTGGAATCTTCTTCTAGGATTCTAGGAGCAGGCTGTGTAGAAGCAAATTCAAGACCATTTTTCAGGACCCAGCCAGACGTCTGGGACAGGTCGGACAGAAGGGGCGCATGAACAACAAAAGAACGGCCCAGGCCGGCCCCAGGCAGCTGGTCTAGAGCGATCAGGAGTTAGACCCGGCACTAATGCTTTGGCCAACGGCCCACTCTGACACGAACGATAACGATACCAATCAGCATGTTTACATCAACAAATACCACTCCAGAATAGAAATCTCTCTTTGTGGCGAGTTGGTTGGCCAAAAGTCGCCACTTTGCTGCTTGACAACGACGACGCCCGAAGCCGACACACCAGATGGATGGACCGCACAAAGCCGAGCACTCCAACGACATCTCCCGTCAGGTTGTCTGACTTGACGAGGTGAAGATGTTCTGCACCAAATCCATTAATTACACCAGCATAGACTAGACCCCAAATAGCGTGTGTATCAAGTGCCACAAGGCAAAGCTATGACCACAAGGCAATACATGCTTCAATTTGTCGGACACAATATGAGAGGATATCGTCCTAGCCATGCCATGATGTCATCCCTAGCATGCCACCCGCACCAACACCTGCACCAGCACGCCCCCAGGAAAAGCCGATCCAGCACCAGCACCAGCACGGGCAAAACGAAACGCCGATCCGAATCCAGAGCCACACCATTGGGAAGTAAGAACTCCTTTAGCTTGCAGCTGTGTGGGGAAAAAGACCATCTAACAAAACCAGAAGTAAGGATCAAGGATACGTGGCGCCTTCACACGTGAAACAGGGAAACAGGGTCTGAAGACCTGCAGACCCATGGGACACCAGCCTTCAAGGGAGGTCACCATGTACCAGTGAAAGAATAGAATATCTGACAAAACGGTACGACCAAAGAGTTAAATAACGGTCTAAGACACTGTCCGAATTCGGAATAGTAACCTTAATGCCTGCAAACAAGATTGGGAAGATCATTCTTTTGCCGAAGACATGTTTTAGACTTGTTGGTAGAAGCTATATGTCATGGAATGGGATCTCATTGGGAAGTGGACTGACTTGAGCAACTCTATCTACTCTATATAGTTGCTTCTAGTGGAATTCTCACATTGAGAGGAGACACTTGGTGTGGCTGCGAGTACTCTGACATGATTTCCACTACTGCAAACGCATTGGGAAGAAGGGTAGGTTGTGTGGAAATTCCTCCAACTAAGCTTCTGTCAAAGCGCAAGCGAACAAACGAGGATGCCACAGCGATTTTGTATGTTGGATACGTGCCTACACTGCATTATCTTCTCAAGATATCTTTTTACTACTGCTCGCAGGTTTGATGCCTGGTGCCATAGACTTCTTACTTCAGCTTTTTGGATGGTAACTTCCGGTGAAATTGCTAGAGTATAGTCTAGATTGTGTTTTGTCTTCATTCTTATATGCATCCAAACCGCTAGGCCGCTGGGCCAGAATACGGCATACACGTAACCCGTAACGTAAATGATTAGTTCACACTACGTAACTCCGAAACCACCAGTTTGAACGACTAGTGTAGTAAGTTTTGAGAACATGTCCATGCAGGATATCCCGCATCCCCACTTGTCTTTAAACTGAGCATATGCGTCTAACATATTAAAGGGCAATCATGGGTTTCTGCGGCATCCTGTTCGTTTTCAGTTTTCAGCTTGGAATACAACCAGCTTCTATTGAGGCTTTCTGCCAATGACTATGCTCCAAACTCTGTTGAGTAGCTTGGAGAAGGTCCATATCCTTTGCGCTAATCGAGTTGGGCTGTTTCATCAGACTCCGCTCTTGCAGAGTCCATGTCGCCGCCTCAACCTTCAATCGCGATTCCAAGGTAGGGATCCGTCCCGGTCGAACCTAGGGACCAATATGCTATACCAATATGCTACTAGGAACAAGTGCATCGCTACTAGGAGCAAAGGGCCTTACTACTAGGAGCAAGAAGGCTACTAGAACCATTAGAATTTAATTAGAAACCAATGTGCTACCTTCTTCAACCAGGGCTTTTACAGAACTTGAGTGTCCGGACTGGGCTCTCCCCCGTTCGGTCACGAGCGGCTCAAACCAGGTCCGAGAAAACCAGAGACATTCAAAGTGAAATCCCCAAAAACCATCTCCAAAATCTCTCTACACCTCGACAAACATCAAAAAATAAGTCAAGTTGCACAAACCCTAGGGCTCCAGTCGTACCTCCTCAACAGGTTTTTTGGACCCTGCAAACTCACCCCAAACACCCAACCTCAGAAGGTACGACTGGAGCCCTAGGGAAACTGTTGAAAGTTGTGAGTTCAGCCATCCGCTCTCTTCTCACCTTGAAGGCCCATTAAGAGCGTCAAATGCACAAAGTGATTCGACGTATCGCGCAACTAGCCCACTGACATCTTTTCAAAACTGAGGGTTTTCTCTATCTCTACTTTGATTGATCCCGGGTAGCATGGCTATTACTTATCACTGAGCCCCTCATGCGACACTCGGACTCATGAGACGCTCCACTGCGTTCCCTTTCTGCCCATCCGTCCAAGCCACTCATGTCGGACCGTCCACGGCGGTGGTTGTCCTGGCGCGCCCACCGGAAGGTCGGTCGGGGAATCGGTGGGTCGACGGGGCGAACTTGACTCATAAAGGACCCAAGGACCGGAAGAAGGTCATTCGCGCACCAGGCTGGCTTCTGGGGGTAAAATGAGTCATGACTGGACTAGGGTTGCCAAAGGTAAGCATCAATCCAACTGGCGACATCATGTTGCAATCTATGCTGGGGAGGGGCAGGTTGGGACTGGCGATGAAGGACAGCCATCTGGAATCCAGGGGTGTCACTGTAGTGTTGAGTTTGGAGGTTTGCCTTTTGGATATAGCTTTCGTCAAAATTACGCTCACAGAACGCATGGCGACCAATATTATTGGGAACCATGGAAAGAATTGGACAGGTATGGACAATCATGAAAACAAAGTTTCCAGCAGCTCGTTGACTGGGAGGTCTCCCTATGTGAGCTAGAAACCCATCATTGTTGTTTGACACATTTTGAGACCGTCTTTGAACTCGCCAGGTAGAGCTCACAGAGTGTCCAACATGTGGCCTTTATGTTCATGCCAAAATTGAGTTATAGCACAGAAAGGCACCCCATGGCAGGTCCAGTCTGACCCAGTGAAACCCTGGTCCCTTGAGTATATCGAGTCACGTTTGATGCGGTTCGTGTACGATCACCGGAGCGTGCCTCCGGGTTCGTCGCATTGCCCGTGCCCAGCTCCGCCAAGACGGAGCTCTTCGAGGAAGGCGCCAAGACCTGAGGTTAAGCGGTGTGAAACGCCCCTAGTAGCGTCCGATCGCTCCCAGTAGCGATGCCAGGAGCCCCTAGTCGCTTCTTGCTCCTAGTAGTAAGGCCAGGAGTCCCTAGTAGTGTCCTTGCTCCTACCCAAACATTGAAAATACACTGCAGTATTTTACTGGAATGTTGTTCCAATTGTAATATTGTTTTACTGCAGTATTCCAATACACTGCAGTAATTCCATTGGACATACAATTATATGTTCACAATTTTTACTAGAATTACTGGGAACACTGGAACCAATTGGAACCATATAAAAGGGCAAATTACTGAACATTCATGGCCTGTTGCTCCTCGAAAACACTGGCTACGACCTGGGTGAACTGTTCCGAGCACAGAGTTCAAGTTGCCCTGTTGAGTCATCTTTGGTGAGATGGACTTTGGAAGAAAGATGGGGCGAAAGCATCTGTAGCAGCTTAGAGTTCCCGGTGTGCATTTCCATGGTGAGATCCTGTCGCCCCATTCCATAGTGGAAATGGTGAAACCATCTGTAGCAGCTTAGAGTCCCCGAGGGATTCTCCGTGTCCCCAATCACCATGGCAGAAAGCAAAACATTGAGAACAACAACAAAACCACTGCTCTTTTGGCACTTCTCAAGCCGTCTACTGTTTGGGCTGCTTGCTCTACTGCCCGGTGGCTGGCGCTCCCATCGGGGATCGATCCAGTGGGCCCACCTGGATGGCTGGCGTTCTCATGTCGTCCAAACGGTGTTGGTTTCTTGGTTGGTTTCTGAAGTGACCCCATGCGCATATGATTCGGCAAGTCGCCAACAGATCTTCTGGCGTGTTTGGTGGGTGGATGTCTTCTTGGTGAAAGAGGAATCCCTCTTCAGGTGTTGGATCTGAATTTGTAAGATGCACAAAGATCTTCTCTTTCAGGTCCTTCAAAACTCTGGGTACGTCAAAGGATTTTGGAACATGTTGGACCTCAAAAAGCACCTGATAAATCTCCAACCAGCTCCTCAAAAAGTATGCGGATCTTTAGAGGAGTCCGCTGCCCTTGCTTCAATTTTTGCAGAATATTCATCGGGTGGTCTGTGGGTGGTGGTTCCAATTCCACTTCCTCTTCCTTCCTTCCTTCCTTCCTTCCTTCCTTCCGTCTCTTTCCTTCTGTTATATACTGTAGATCTCACACCCAGGGTCTGTATTGAAGTCACGCTGCTGCCAGGATCGCGGCTTGTATGCAAGTGATCATAATTCACCGTGGAGCATGATCGATAGTTCAGACCTTATGCTCCAATAAAAGCTTACAGCTTATTGCTCAAACTGACTGATCACGAACGGCATGGCATCGGACACACATGTGTACACACATGTGCACCTAACGGTGTGTGTTGCAGTCTGTTCTAGATTCGTACAAAACAGGGAACGGCTAAGGCCGTTGAAACAAAATCGGATCGGCAAGCAGCTTGGCTGGGAAGCATTCTTCCTGTTGAAGGGAGGCTTCCAGGATCTGATTCCAAAAATGACGCGTAAGGTGCCGGTGCCGTCCCTTTTTCGATGCGCCAGTGGAGGGTGGGTCTCGCTTGGTTGAGAGTCCATGTGTCCCAGGTTCCGCAATCCAACTCAAATCAGTAGGGGTCGGCATTTCTGCTTGAAGATCTTTGAAGTGGATGCTTGAAAATGAAAGTGCCCCAAGTTTCAGCATCAGCCTGTCTGGGCCAAATGGAGCATATTCCCCACACAACCATTGCCTGGGGAAAAAAAAAAAACAATTGCATGCCCACACGGCCAAAACACAGCCATCCCTTGCCACCCGAACTTCCCAGAGATCTCCCTGCCTTTGGGCCAGAATCAAAGGGCAAACTGGACTTGTACATTCGGTCACGCCCCTCTGGCTCAGCATACCTCACACCACAGCTCGCGCGGCATGCCGTGGGCGGCTTGATCTGTCAAAGCCCAAGGAGGATGGATCAATGTGGATCAAATTGCCTCGATATCTGTCTCGGTCCACATGTCAGGAGCGGGAGCTTACTGCATCTGTCACCGGTTTTGACCGGAAGGCTACAAAACCGCTTTACTGCTCTTCCGATTTCCTAGCGCTCTTCCGGCTGCATGGGTCAAAGCCTCAGTAAGTCCCGTACCATTTCAGCTCCTTCAAACAATTGTGACGGTAAACTGTGACTTCACGAAGTCACTGGAACACTGGTATGCACCGGTGTCTTTCATCATCTATGAGCCCCAAAAAAGCCGTCCATACTGCCAATGCGGGTCTTCTTCTCGAGCAAGATAGAGAATCCTACTTCAGATAGTCAGATAGTCAGCAGCACGAGACAAACTTGTGTTCGACACACCTATGGCATGTGCTTTGTTTTCAGTACTTCTGCGTTCCTCCAACACAGATACACAGTCTCAAACATTTGAAGAGACCCCTAGCATAAGACATGCCTTTAGCACTTCCACAAGACTTAACCGGTCACTCTGAAGTGGAACCTGGACAGGAAAAGCCTGAAACATGCGTACTTGTTCTCCTCCAGCAACCAACAAGATGCCACACCAACAACCAACCTCTCCTCCACCTCCAAAAGTCGTTGCTCCGCTGTAAAAAACGCGATGTCGCCCAGCGACTGGTTCCCGTAGACTGAGCGACGAGGAGCTTCATAGTCCTGCGACGGAGCGGAGCCGGGGCTTTCAGAAACAAGGCTTTGCAGTTACTAGATGTTACTAGTAGCTTCTAGCTACTAGTAGCGATGGCCTCCAACCTAGTAGCTTCTAGCTACTAGTAGCTGCCTGGCTGAGTCTAAGCCTGAGGAATTTCCGGAACTTCAGGCTCGCCTGAAGTCGGTTTCGTATGTGAAGAGATCGGGCTGGCACCCAGTGAATCCAAATGTTGACTTGTGGGTTCCATTTGTTGTTGGTGCGAATCTCAGGATCTCAATGCATATTAATGCATGGTGCCAACACAGGAGTGGAACCTCACACATGTCCCTCACAGTGCTCTGTGCCAAGGTCCCCCTGTCTGTGCGAAGGTTTGAGTGTAAGGCTGGTAGTTCCAATTTCACAACGTTCAACATTGAACAATGGAAGAATCAATCCAAACTCCACTTAATCCATGGTTTAATCAATTGGTTGTTTAGTTACATCCAACGGATAACACCAAACTTCACTTGATCTATCTTGATCTATTAGAACCATGAGAAGGGTAGATCACATTTAAACAAGATCAACAACGACCTCTCTTACATCCCACCCATCCAATGCAACGACCAAATCGGACCATCTGGGCCCGCGAAACCGGTCTCCTGGTGGGATTTCACATGCCAGGAAGTCTCGCTGGGCGAATAACCTTGGAGAAGGAACGGACAAAACATGAAAAACATAAAACAACGCATGCTGACCCTCCGCGATAGATAGACATTGACGGTACAAGTAGATCCCCACTTTTCGTAGAAACCGCCGCCACTATCGGATCACATACTCGGTCTCGATCCGAGTACTGTGAGTGAGTGAAGACTCACTTCGAGAAGGTCCGACTTTGAGAGTCACCTGGAGGGTTCTAACCTACTCTGAGAAGGTAGCGATGGCCTCCAACCAAGTAGCGATGGCCTCCACCCTTGAAGGCATGCCCTAAAGGGAGTGATCTGTCGTCCGAGAAACACGCTTTGAACACCTCCTCACCCTGTCGATCGGCCCTATGCGTGGGGCCCTGGAACACGGCGTACACCTAGGTTGGAAGAAACAGTCTTGCTCATCCACTACTGGTGTTGGGAGTCATGTATCAGCAACCATCAGCAATGCACTCCCAGCGTTTCTTGATGAAACAAAACCTGCTGAGTGGTGTTGGTGTCCACAATCTCCACAAGGCTTGGCCAGGAGGTGGATGGTGATACGCAACGCGGAAAATACTTGCAGCAAAGGCCATTGCGAAAGCTGAACACTCACCTTATGCAATCATCTTACACTTGGAATAATAGCAGGTTTATTTGTGGTCAAAACCGAGGATTGCCATTTGGCAGAGAGGTCAGAAATCATTAAATGATACGTATTATTTATATACACATCAAAAGAATACTGGCCTCTCAGTTATATACATCAGGTCAGTTTTCTTTGACGGAGTATATAGACTCAACATAATTTGGCACTCATCCAGGGGATGGTCAGAGGAGAGGAGAGTCCGCCCCCGAATTACCTCTTTCCATTTTGAAGCAACAAGGGGGTGAGGTAAACTGACCGTTAAACCGTGCCAGGACCATTCAATTGGGTGTCCAATGGAGGTTCCTATACGTAGTGTAGTCCAACCAGGACTGTGGGTCAAAACCGAGACACTCTGGTCGGTTGACCTCTGAAAATGAACCGGTTCCTCTAGTCACTCTAGTCTATATTATGTCTCATAAGGGATCAACCTACCATGCTTGGGCTCAGATGGCATAGGAAGGTTGGGTTCCTCACCCCAAATCAACCACGCAGGCGGCGGCACTGACTGCGGGCCACAGATCTGAGTAGTGCTACACTCGGGTTGCTTCCACCCGGGTCCACCCGCCCCGAAGATCTCTCTCTCACCCCAAATCCACCAAGTGGCCGGAGCTCTCGACACCTGGACTTTCCAAGCTCGACATCCCCGGCGACACCGCGAAGCCGCCGGTGCCGGGGGAAGATGAAGGACGGCCAGCCGCCGGGCAGTGGTAGCTCTGGCCGGTGCGGAGCTTGTGAAAGACCGGATTCCCGGAAGTTCTGGGTGAGCTGGACAGGACTGAACGGCTAAACTGTGGTAGGTAAAGGACAATAAGACATCAGCAACAATTCATAAGCCACTGGCCCACTGGTTGTCGCACACATGACTGAAGTATTTGGATACATCAGACTGGATGTATCTCCATGCTCTAGCCCTAGGGCTTAACCCCAAACTGGCATCCTGGGTAACTGCAGGAGCTGCAGTAGATGATTCCATGATGCTCGAGGTGCGCCAATTTGCTGAGGCAGGAGATTGGATGGCGAGAGCCACACATTTGCCACCAAAAATTGATCCGGTGGACGAAAACGTGGTGTCATGTCCTGTTCGCAAGGGCGATTGCTGCGCTGTTTCTCTTCTCTGACCATCTAACAAGAGTTTTGCATCGCCCAAGAGATCTGGCAAATATATATATATATATACACACCTCTTGCTTTGGGCAGATGGATGATGTTGTGAAAGCACTTTCCAACCTCCCACCCCTGCTACGCGTTTGGTGAAAACACCTGTCCAGTCCAGGTATAGCTCAAAAGCAAAGCTACATGAGAAGAATGCCATGGACATTGACAAAACATATTCTGGATGGCGCACAACACAGTGAACAAGCAGGATGGTGCCACAAGAAAACACACAGCCAATGGACCCTGCATTCTTCGATTGACCTGCAGCAAATTTGCCAAGGTTTGCCCGTGGAAAACTATAGAACCCTATGGCCCAAACAACCGGGATGCCGAATGACGGCAACTCGGAATCTGCCAGATACGTTCCAAGTCTAGCTAGAGAATTTCAAGTTTTTGCTAGCGTCATGTGTGCGGCACTGCGGACTGTGCAAGTATATCTGCCCACTGTTCATGTGAATTGAAGCATATTGAACCATGTTGTTTCCAAGTTGCACTCAAACGTGAGCATGAATATGATCTCCTCGTCAAAACTGATGTCTCAATGACAATGACTTTTGGGGGAGAGTACAAAAAGAGGCTCCTTTCTGGACTCAACCTCAAGTAACGTATAGACTCTATAGTTGTTGGTTTTTATTGACCCCCCGAAACATGGATCGTGAAACCTCTTCACTACTGGGGGGTTGAACTATGATCAAGAATCTACATTGTCCTCGAAAATGAGACATGACAACCGGTACTTACTAGTACGACTGGGGCCCCATATTCGGAGGTACGAAGTGAGACTCCAGGTAATTGAAACATGTTCCTTCCAGCAGTCACAAAGGGGTGCCTGTTGGAGGATAGAGGGGCCCATTATCATCCCATTATCCACTCACTGGATGGGACCAAAAACCACCCAACTCCATGTGACTCCTGGTTAACAAGGCTACTTTCTTCAGGTTTGATCTCCTAACCCTCCGATCCGCCTTTGGTGAGCTGGCACTGGCTGTACCAGGGCTCCTGGTTGAGGGGGCAGGGAGAGATTTCGCGAACACAGCCTCGGCTTTGATCGGAATAGGCGAACATCCACGGATTTTCTTCTAGAATCTAGCAGAATCGCATTAGCAGTAGCCCTATCATTCAGGACCAGATTTCATGATGTCGAAAACAGGTCCAAAACCATGTAGTTAGCCAATAGTTCGAAACCAATAGGCAGTGCTAACGGGACTTCAGACTCGCAAAGATACAAACATGCGGAAGACCCTTGAAAGCCCAGTGCGACTTCTCTGTCGTGATGAGATCTCAGATCTGGTCGATCACCGAATGCCTTCCACCTGGCTAGGCTTGGGGACTTCTGAAAGCGCTCTTGGAAGTGGCTTCTTCAGTAGCAATAAACAATGCAGCACCTCTTAGATGGATTCCGAGCCAGCTGGTCGCCAGCCTCTCTTGCAGCAACAGTGACGAAACCTACTGGTGTCCAGCCAAGAACTTCAGCATTTATATACTATCGATCCCCAAATGAATATTGTTACATATAGAATGATCGTCATTCACAACTTGTTTTATGTTCACCTTCCAGAATTCACTCTGCCCCTTATGGAACTGAATCCTCAAACGGAAAAACTGGAGCCTCCGAACATCCCCTCAACACTGGACTGTGGCCAAACCGCTGTCTCATCCTCTGCTGTTAATAGATCGCTTCTCTCATCCCTTCCCCAGGCCCACGCCGCCAAAAAATGACGCTCCTGGCGGGGGAGGAGCAGCTGATCTGACTGATGTCGCTCTGGATGAGGCCTTTCACCTTAGGTGGTTCCCCTCCATGTGATGCTGACAACTTCGCCCGACTCTTGCGGACAACACCGGGACAACTCCTGACACCCAGCCTCAAACGGAGGGGGATCACTTCAAGGATAACGAAATGGAGGGGGGGGAAAGAAAAAAATCCATGTGAGAACACACATAGACACAAAATACCTCCACAGCTGCTAGGAAGGTGTAGAGCCAAATGTCCTCAACATCCGTCGTTCAGGACCCAATTGTCTGACGTATCTGTTACAAGCGAATCTTCACATGCACCAATCTGGGAGAGCAGTATGTGCATGAGTTTTCATCACATCTAAGGCTCTAAGGATGCATTTCCTCAAATGAACAGCACCAAAGCCAGCTTCCTTCAAAGCTTGCGGAGTCACAACGCAAGGGCGGAGCGGGCCTTCGGCGGTAATGACTTTGGAGAGGACATGACAACCCTTGGTGTATGTGACATATGCTCACAGAAATCATCCAACCGTGGAAGACTCAACTTGCTACTTATGCTACTTGTGGTGATAGTAGCGTAAGTATACTTCTAAGTCGCCTAACTAGAGTAGAGGTACAAGCAAAAAAACTCCTGTGCATGTTGAGGCAAGAGGAGGCTTCTCGTGTTCAACCTCCCTGATAGTTGGCTCAGCTGGCTAAGCTGTGATCATTCTGAATGTGCACTGACCGATGTGTTCATGAGCTTCTCTCATCTTTACCCAATGCTTCTTTCGCAACAACCCCAGTGAGTCAACGACGCTGGTTACTGGAACCTTCTAGAAAAACGACTCCATTCCCTTGATCATTGGGGTTCTCGAGGTTTTGTCAAGGACTTTAATGCTGACGTGATTGTTTTTTTTGCGAATTGGTAAGACATCCATGAACTTGATTTATCTTATTTTAATTATTTGACCATGTTCCGCAAAGTTGCTGGAATCTGTGCACTGCAAGATGTTCCATGGTTGGGAAGATCACAAGTAGAGCGCATGGGGGAAGGCATCCTAATGGAACACAATGAACAGAAAAGGTCAGAATGCTGCACCGACAGCATTTAGTAAAACAGATACCTTGAAACAAACGTGAACGGCGGTCCCTACCCGTGAACGATGGTCTCTACCCCGTGAGATAACCGTGAAACATGGGCGCTGAGGAACAGGAGAACAACATCATA